GGTACCATTCCCACTGAGAACCACTGAGCTACATCAAAGTAAATCAGAAAGTAAGAAAAACAATGTTGCCTAATTCTTACTCTGTTTGTAGGTTCAAGTCACTAGATTTTATGTGAGAGGTGAGACAAAGTAAAGTTCCACATTTTAAATGTGAGCACCAGTGCTTTCTTACCTGTCTTAGTTCAGTGCATTTGAGCTAATGTGATCTTAGAGGGTTATTCTATTTTGTTTGCCGATACCCTTGCCTCACTGCATAAAAGCCTTTGACACTGCTAGATCCATCATCAGGTAACCGTATGTCCTGTCTCTGCCCCGCTGGAGCCTCATCTCAGAGGCAGCATGCCATAAGGGACAAAATGTACACCTTGAAAGGAAATGGCCTGGTTTTGAATGTCAGCTCTATCCATTATCTAACACGAGAGATTGCTGTCCTCGGATCCTAGAAGTTGAAGGGCAGGTGGATCTGAGAGGCACAGACTGAACACGAGAGAGGCATCCTGACCAGGATTTCTCTGGGCTCACCAGAGTCATTGACGTGACCCATGACATGACCAGTGCCCCGGCACCTATCCATTGTCTCCTTGGAAGTTGCTAAGATACTTTGCATCCAGCCCTCCTCTTTTTCTGGTCTCACTGCAACTGTACCTGCAAATTCCTTCTCACAGCTATGAAAATGCTTGTTTGGAGCAGCCAGGCATAGCTAGTTTCTCCACCCTCTGCTCCTTGGCCTGGTCATTTGTCTCCCAGAGCCAGCTGCACATGTGAGTCGCCATTGTGCCCCCAGAGGAGGATGGGAACAGTGGGAGCAGAGCCTGCAGTGTGCTAAACCACCCGATGGCCAGACCAAGCCCACTGAATGTGCTCAGATGAGAACTCTCGGGCATCTGGGCGAGGCAGCATGGTGCAGAGGAAAGAGTACCAGGTTTGGGAGCAGATGACTTCAGTCAAATCCTGACCCTTCCTCTGGCCGGTGGTATGACCCTGAGCAAGTACTTTTCCTCCCTGAACACCAATTTCCTCATCCCTAAAATGTGGATAATACTTACCCTGCAGGGATTTTGTCAAGGTGTAAAGCACCTAATACTGTACCTGGCACTTTGTAGGCATTTAATAAGTGGAAATTATTACTGTTGCTATGGAAGCATATATCTCACCTGAAAGGGATAATACAGCAAACAATTATCATAATAGTATATCATGTGCACCCTCTGGAGTTTTGCAGTGCCCAACTTGTGCCACTGTATTAGGTGCCCTGTGTGGACAATAATCTCTAGAATTTTTCGTCTCTAAAATTGGAATGAAAATAATACAGAAAAAATATATAGTAATGTGAATAGCTATCATTCATTGCATGACTTACCTATCAAGCAAGATAATAAGTACTTTATAGGCTTTATCTCTGGTTCAAATCATAATAGTAATTGCTAACACTGATTTAATGTTTACTGTGTGCTGGGTGCAGGGCTCAGCACCTTAAATAGGTAATCTTGGTTAATCCTCAGACCAACCCAATGAGATAAGAGTTATTTTATACCCATTTTACAGATAAGGAGACTAGTGCTTTAGAGAGGTTAAAAAGCTCTCCTTAAATTACATAGTTACCAAGTGGCAGTTTGAAGTTTAACCTTGGCCTCTAAAATTCCAAAATTCTGACTCTTATTCACTTTGCACACGACCTCACTGCTGAGAAGGAGAATAGTATAACCTGACTTTACAACAAAGAGACTGAATCTTAGAGAACTTATGCAGTTGTGATTGCCCTAAGCCTAGCAAGACGGAGAGGGAAGACTCTAACCCGGGGCTGCCTGGTTTCTAGTCCTCTGCCCTTTCCACTGAGAGCCACATTGATTTCAGAAGCCTTTAACAACTATAGGAATGTTATTATGATCCCCCAGGTATCTGCATGGTTTGCTGTCTCACTGCATTGTCACTTCTGCTTATGAATCATCTCCTCAGAGACGATTTCCCTCACCACTTCCAACTCCCCCCACCAAACCATTTAAAATAGTATCTGATCTCTCTCTGGCCTCGCCTCCCACCCAGCCGTCTGTAGTTTTCTTCATCTCACTTATCCCAGCCTGACCTTCTACTTATACCTATTTTGTCTTCTATTTGTTTTCTGTCTCCTCCCTTCCCCCACACTAGAAGGTAGCCTTCACAAAGGCAGGGACTTTTGTCTTATTCACCTGTGCATCCCCAGTCCCTAGCACATAGCGTGGCATTTAGAAGGTGCGTGATACATTTTTATCCAATCACTTAAATCAATGAATCATTCTTTCCCACAATGCCTGACTCTTCTTTTTTGCCCCTGCAGGTTATGTGGCAATGGGCGCCGTCCTCCCATCCTTCTGGGGCCAGCAGCCCCTTGTCCAACAGCAGATCGCCATGGGTGCTCAGCCACCAGTCGCTCAGGTGATGCCGGGGGCTCAGCCCATCGCATGGGGCCAGCCGGGGCTCTTCCCTGCCCCTCAGCAGCCCTGGCCAGCTGTTGCCGGGCAGTTTCCGCCAGCTGCCTTCATGCCCGCACAAACTGTTATGCCTTTGCCAGCCGCCATGTTCCAAGGTCCCCTCACCCCCCTTGCAACTGTCCCAGCCACAAGTGACTCCACCAGGTCAAGTCCGCAGACCGACAAGCCCAGACAGAAAATGGGGAAAGAAATGTTTAAGGATTTCCAGATGGCCCAGCCTCCACCAGTGCCGTCCCGCAAACCCGACCAACCCTCCCTCACCTGTACCTCAGAGGCCTTCTCCAGTTACTTCAACAAAGTCGGGGTGGCACAGGATGCAGACGACTGTGATGACTTTGACATCTCGCAGTTGAATTTGACCCCTGTGACTTCTACCACGCCATCAACCAACTCACGTGAGTTGCCGTTCCCTTGAGACATAAAACCCAAAGAGTGTGATGCCTGGCGTCTGGGATCATGAAACATATCTCAGTTCCATTCAACTCATCTCAGTACCATTCAACTACTACTCCTACTAATAACAAAACCACCCGTTGCCATCAAGTCAGTTTCCACCTCATGTTGTCCCAATGTGTGTCAAGGTAGAACTGTGCTCTGTAGGGTTTTCAACGGCTGATTTTTCGGGAGTAGATCGCCAGGCGTTTCTTTTGATGCCTCTAGGTGGACTCGAACCTCCAAACTTTTGGTTAGCAGCCAAGTGTGTTAACTGTTTGCACCACCCTGGGACGCTAATAATTACTACTAATAATAGTACCAACTATTAGGTACCTTCTCCATAGGCTTTATATTTATTATTTTAATACTCATAACAATGTTTATGACAAGTTTTGTTAGATCTCCTTTACAGATAATGAAAATGAAGTGCAAAGAAGACAATAGAAAAAGCAGCAGAACTGAATACAAGTCTGCTACTTTTCCACCATGCTAATCTGCCTCGTATGTTTTTGTTTGATCATTCATTCAGTCATTATCCAAGCGTATGACGCACAGATTTTAATATAACTTACTGTAAGTAAAATGAATGGTAAATACAAAATTTAAAAATTTCTAGGGACGATGATAACAATTTAGAATTGAAACTTAAGATCAAGAAAAAACTTTCGAACAGACATAGAGCAGCCATAAGACTTTATACAACTGCTGTAGTTGAAGCCAGATTTTGACTCAAAGCTTCTGGTAGTCAATGAGAAAAAATGGTGTAACAAAAAACTCTAGACTGGTAACCAGAGATCAGCATGCATACTTAACTAGTTTTGTACCTTTGGACAAGTCGTTTTAATTCAATTAGCATATGTCTGAAACTAAAGAGTCCCTTGGTGGTGTAAACGGTTAAGTGTTAAGTGCTCAGCTACTAACCAGAAGGTGGGTGGCTCATATCTACCCAGAGGTGCATCAGAAGAAAGACCTGATGATCTACTTCCCCAAAATCACAACCATTGAAAACCCTATGGAGTGCAGTTCTACTCTAAAACACATGGGGGTGCTATGAGTTGGAATAGACTTGGCAGCAATTGGTTTTATGTCTAAGTCTAAGGGTTATTAAAAGAATTTAATGATACATGTACTAAAACAGCATAAACCCCACAAAGTTTTAAATGTTATTAAAGTCGTTGTCATCACGTATTAAGTGGTTTTGTGCAGAGTCTTCCACCAGGCTTCCAGTCTTGGCTTCTCCTCCTCCACACAGTGTGTCTTTGAGCAAGCCTGTGGCTTCTCGGAGGCTCAGTTGTGTCTTCAGTAAAATAAGCAAATTGACTTGGATGAGCAATGTGCCTCCTTCTAGTTCCGGTATTCAGTGATTCTACCTTAAATCATGTTTCTACTGCATAATGTCTGGAAAACAGGAATGTGACAGCGAAATTAGAACCTATACACCTTTGAGTGTGTGTATGTTTGGCCGACACAGTTGGGGGAAGGTCTTCTGGTGACTCAGCCTGTGCCTTGACAATTGATAAGGGGAAAGAAAAGGCCCCTGGTACAGTGAGTTTGGCGTTTTCATTACTGTCACAGAGGTTACGGATCACTGCATGGCCAATACCATGAATTGTCAAAAAAAAATCTAGTGTTAACACAATTAGATTGTGTCATTTCAGCCAGGTTCAGAATGCTCTTCCGAAAATGAATGCCCTCTATGTATATAAACAACCTTCTTTCACTCAGGCCATATGATCTACATAGCCGGGCATCTCTATTAACTCTTAACTCACAGAGTTTCAGTGGAAAATAATGAATACAAAATGAAATACTACAGAAATGACAGCCATGCACAAATAAGCAAGCATCTTTTTAAAACTAATGCCTATCGTTCAATGAGCTTGTGTGCCAACTACAAATAAAAGGGGGAAGTTTAAGCTCTTTGAGGACAGGGAACATGTCTTCATCATTCCTACACCTCTCAAAATGCTAGCATGGTGCCTAGCGCGTAGAGGCTTGGGAAAGGGTATAGAGAGTGAAAGGAACTAAGCAAAGGCCATTCGGTTACTGATGGGCTTTAAATCAGTGTTTCATAACTTCAACACTGTTGACATTTTAAGCCAGATAATTTTTTTTTCTTGTGGGGGGATATCCTGTGCATTGTAGAATGTTTACTGGCAACCCTTACCTCTCTACCCATTAAATGCCAGTTAACACCCTGCACACACACACACACACACACACACACACACAGTTGCAACAACCAAAAATGTCTTCAGATATTACCAAATGACCCCTGGGGGTGAAATCTCCCCAGATTGAGATCCACTGTTTTAAAGTATTAAAAAAAAGAAAAAACCAGACCCATTGCTGTCAAGTCAATTTCGACTCATAGTGACCCTATAGGACAGAGTAGAATTGCCCCATAGGGTTTCCAAGGAGCAGCCGGTGGATTTGAACTGCCGACCTTTTGGTTAGCAACCGTAGCCTTTAACCACTGTGCCACCAGGGTATAGAGGTACTCTTTAAAACCTACTGAAGGTTAAGACACTTTCATAAATAAACTCACTCATTGTACTTCCCACTGAGTTCATCAAATAAGTGTGCGGTGTACCTATCAGAATTGGCAGGTCAGCCTGGGTTCTCAGCCCGTAGTAAGCAATAAGGCACTTCAAACAGAATCCAGTTAAGCTAGCACTTATTAAACATCTACCAAATGTCAGGGTGTTTTCAGATCGCTTATCTCATTTAAATCCACTGTAACTAATTTGTTCCATAATCATCTCATGAAACAAAAACAGGCTTCCTTTCAAATTTATAAATAAACTGAATGTATTTTATTTTAAAGAAAAATGTGTGAAACCAGTCTTTATTGTCCTCTTATCCATTGTTAGTGGAGTCCCTGAGTGGTGCAAACAGTTAAGCACTCAACCACTAACCAAGAGGTGGGTGGTTTGAACCCACCCAGAGGTGCCTCAGAAGAAAGGCCTGGCAATCTGCTTCCAAAAGGTCGCGGCATTGAAAACCCTAGGGAGCAATTCTATTCTGCACACATGGGATTGCCATGAGTCCTAATCAACTCAACAGCAGCTGATTTGATTTTTTGGTTTTATCTG